TAAGTGGCTGAACCCGTTCGAAGAACGTCCGTTGCGCGCGTCCGTCGAAGCTAGGTCACCTGCCCACTGCGCGCGGCGCACTTCTCTGAGGTCTCGAAATGACATTACAGTACCAATTAGTGTCAGTGGAGCGAACGATTCGCTTTTGCCCGTGTATCTTCTCTTTGAGCTGACTGCCGTGGACCAAGCGGAAATCGTATGCCCCATAGACAACTGCGACATCCGTCAAGTATCGCAGGCTGACCTGCCGCTTGTGATGGCTGCGCCGTGACCTAGTTTCGACGGACGCGCGCAACGAAGCGCACCCGGGCACGTTCGAAGGAGTGTCAGCTAACTAAGGCCTTGAATTGGCTCTTGGTATCAACAAAGTCAGCTTGTTTCCCTATGCCATTGATTTATGATTTAATCAGCCATCCTTTTCAGTAGCACTATTTACAAAGTTATTTACAAAGATTGCCCTGCTGGTAGCATTCCAATTCAGCAGCTACGATGGCTATTACGGCTGCAGAGTTACCTGAGTAAAGGCTGTAAGGATCTCCAAATGTTAACAAAGGAATCTGTTAAGAAACGTAAAAAAGTAGTCAGCGTGAAGAATATAAAACTGATCTAATCATATGGAAATTTTTGGATGCACCCATTCGTAATATTCGCAGTGAGAATGCTTTGTCCATGTGCCAATACGCCAGCACTGTCGATTTCCATATTCGGAAATTATAGTTATTGAAAACTGAAACAATATGAGGCAGGGATTTTTAGTAAAATTAGATTCTAGTTAATCGGATATTAGCCTAACTTCAGTCTCTTCGCATACACGAACCAGCATCACCACTAGCCATCATCTTCACATGCCGACTGACTGTTTATGACACAGCAGCCAGCTTACTCTCAGCAGCTACGGCTCTTCCCTCGAAACAGATAATTCGGAGGAGGTGAAAGAGGTTGAGATGACTCTGGAATAATTGGGAAAATTCACTAAGGGAAGTTAAACTAGTGTTACGAATAAACGCTGGTTTCGAGCTCAACTCAGCAGGTACTGCTCGAATCAGTTGGGATTAGTAATGCCCTACCTTCTTGCTCTCCCTCCGTGCAAAGAATTGTTGCTTTCTGTCCCTTCCACAACGTTATAACATGCTGACGGAATTCTCGGTCAATAACGAGGTACACAAAAAGATTCACTCCTGAACATACACAGGTTGCCCAGACTGCCGGCTTCGATATTCGATCACGCACCTAAACAACACAGTTTAAAGGCACAGTTCACGATAATTTTGTGGTATCCGGTTTTTGGCGGAATTTGACAAAAAATTGTTAGATACGGCCTTCAATAGTGCAATGGTAAAAGGGAAAACGCGAAAAAAGATGAATATAAAGTAATAGAGAGCTACAAAAAACAAGGGAAAAGGGGGGTCGGACGAGCTACATGGCGAGAAAACGGCGATAAGGGGTTTTTCGGGCGAGACAGACAAACGCGACGCAGTGTCTGCAAGTGCACACAACACACCAAAACAGCTGATTTTGGCTTATTCATTAAAACTAGTTCTCCTACCGCTATTAATCTGATTTACTGTGCAGTATCAATTTCGACTTTTTGACGACGGTTGAGAAAAATGAATTAGAACAGAATAGCGTAGAATATAGTCGAATACTAGAAAAACAGCCGAATAGTAGTCCCAGTACGAAGCGGTCGACAGCTGCCCGTCTGTGGGCAATTTGCCAACCAGGGTATCGATTTTTCACTAATGTTGCTCCAATGCGAAAGTGGTGAAGGACAATTAGAACTCGTAGTAAACCTAGCGATACCTTCCGTCCCCCACTGATACTGCCCTTATTGTGCCCTATCCAGACCGTTTTCCGACCTCATTCCTGCACAAGTGGTATCGGAGGGGGCGTCGTATTCAAACCATGTGCAAATCTCCGAAACCATTTTTTCGTGAACTGTGTCTTTAAAGGCACAGTTCACGATAACTTGTGGGTATCCGGCTCTCGTCTAATAATAGCAGTGATCGTCCAAAATTGTGCAAATAAGCTGAAAAGAGGCGAAAAGCGGCGTGTTTGAAGAAAAACTAAGGTTTCAAAAAGTAGGTAAATCGAGGATTGGGCGAGTTTCATGCAGAAACAATGGCGTGATGGCGTTCCCAATCACTCCTATCACGCCATGAAGCCCTCTGCAATGTGCACAATTTCGTAAAAATACTATGTTGTCCTTGAAAACTCGAATTTTATCTTCTTCTATTAGTTTTCTGCATTGTAGTTATTCTGCTGCAGCTTAGAGTGCAGAAAATGTACAGAATTACAGCAGCAGCAGCAAGAACGACCAACAATAACAGTATCGTAGGGAAACATCCCCTCACCACACGTCATTCAGCTGATTGTACTCTGAACGTGGGGGTCCTGGTGCGAATATCACAACCTGTATCGCCTCCGCACTCTTCTGACATAGCATAGGTCGATGGGCGTGCGGTAAAGGGGCACCTATTATGCCCTTGCTCCTGAGTTTGGGGGCCCGACAGCGTTCTACAGTAGCCTAATCCTGAGGAGAAATCTGAGAAATCACTTTTATCCTATCCCAAACTGTGCCTTTATTATTGACCTGGTGAACAGCAAAAATCGATCTCGTCTAAAATCATTAACGAGTGAAGATAACAAAAGAAAACAGTGTTTTAATGGAGCTTTAAAAGTACAGTAGCCTAATCCTGAGGAGAAATCTGAGAAATCACTTTTATCCTATCCCAAACTGTGCCTTTATTATTGACCTGGTGAACAGCAAAAATCGATCTCGTCTAAAATCATTAACGAGTGAAGATAACAAAAGAAAACAGTGTTTTAATGGAGCTTTAAAAGTGACGGCTACATGAATCCGCGAGATCATGAGTATCTTCTCGTGGGTGGGGACTGTGATATAAATCAACTTCACGACTTGGAAAGATGTATAACAGTTCAATTTACAGAAGAAGGGGTCTTTTTAGGAGATTCCCTCGCAAAGGAGAACGATGACCAAGTACGTGTCGATGCAATCTGCTATGACTCGAGATTGCTGCTGCAAAGAAGGGAGAATCGTAAACCATCCAGGCAAACATAAAGGACACGTACGACAGAAAAAAAGTCCTTGGGAGGAAAGTAAGCTGCATATCATAAGTAAGCGCAGCTGGGACTTCTTCACCAAAACACTAAGGAGTCGCCTCTCATGAACAGGGAACGAGCAGGATGCATAAGGGGAGGCTTTGTTAGTACCCGAAATAAGAGATGAACGCTGAGTTGGCTCTTGGCTCTGGAGAATGGCTGTGAATCCTTAAAAGTCTAGAAATGTCGTGGGTAAAAATTGATCTACAGTAATTTGCATCCCGATTAATCGCATTTCCTGAATCCCACCACATATTCTTCAAGTATCGGGAAGATACTCAGTGAAGATTCCGAATTCATGAAACAGATGTACAGTATCGCCTGCCTTGCAAGGGATCTATGGGTATGGGTACATACGTGCGTCCGAGGATGCGCGCGGCAAATTGTGCGGCGGAGTGCGTGGTGATTCGAACGACTCTGGCGCCTATCATTGGGGCCCAAACTCGAATTAGAGTTGTTTAGGAGGGTCAGCTGATACTTCTAAACTACTCTACTTCAAATTTGGCCCCAATGATAGGCGCCAGAGTCGTTCGATTCCTCACGCACTTCGCCGCGCAATTTGCCGCGCGCATCCTCGGACGCACGTAAGTTCCGTCCCCGGGGATCTATTTGTTTGATATTCTGTTGTCGGTGACAAAGAATACAATCAGCTCGTCAAACAGCACCAGTTTTGCGTTCGGAAGTCGGAGAATTTCAAATCGATTCTTATCCAAAAGTATTAGGTTGCTTGGAAAGTCGTATCGAAGATTTCACAATGATCTAGATTTTCCTGTTACCTGGAAACTTCCATGACTCTTTTTGAGTGGACACTACCCAGGCAAATATCCCTCACATTCCGGCCAATTCTTGCTAATTTAACCATATAATGACTGAACTGCCTAATCATAATACGTGCACGTACTTCTACACTTGTTTGAATTCAGCCACTTCGCTAATGAAACCCACGAGACTTGTGTGAAGCATTTAGCCATGCAGCTTTCTCTAGGCAGTTGTCGCTCCAGCACTTTACACCGAAAGCAGGAAGGTCGAAAGTGGCCCCAGAAATCTCGTAAAATATGCAATGCACATACAAGTGAACAGTGTCTTTTTACAGCATTCCCATGGAAGCTCCCAAAAAATTTCGGAAGAAATATTGTCGAACGTGAAGTTTTTGGTATATACCTTCTGCTCACCCTAATACATCTTGAGTCCCTGATTGTGGTAGCAACTTACCGACCCAACAAGGACGCTGACTATTGATAAGCAGTTTGGTATCGACACTAAGATTGTTGCCAAAATGGAGACAATAAGGCAAGAACGAATTCGGTGGATATGTTCAGACTGGTGCCTGAAAAAGAGGCCACGATTAATGTCATAAACAAGCCTGATAAAATTGGCGTGAAGCAAGATGGGTTTGCTGGAGTCATTTGTTACTACAGCTATAAACTGACTCAACGAAGCGAAATAGCGATCATCCCGCGCTCCCAGCGTTCGTTTCGCAAATCGTGATCATGCAAATACTATAGAAACAACAATCCAGTAGTTGCACTGCACTTTTACAGTAACCCGGCTGTTGGTCCTGACTAGAATGCAACCCCCGTGGCCAAAAAAGGTGCAATGGAGCAGCATTTTACGCACACCCAACACATTCCCTTCCATGGCGAACGGTGGTGTAACCTTCACTAATATTCAAATTCAATTCAAATTTAAGAACATATTTATTGTAAGCGCAAACAAAATGCACATCGACCATTGTTAGCTACAACTTCTGGCCGTCGTTCTGGCAGCTCGATGTCTTCGCGACTGAAATGTCTTAATATCAGCAACTGAAGAGTCTTCGTCTTCTAATAATAAGACAATCGAGTCATCAACCCATTTCAGCACTTCATCGGCGTCACAGAAGCGTTCATGGGCAGATTGACTTGCATGGACCGGAAAAAGCGGCAATTAAAGGGAGCCAGATCCGAAGAGTATGAAGCTGAGCAAGCTGATTCCATCCAAGATCTGCAATTTTTGAAGAAAACTCTTGCAATATGTGGCGAGGCATTTTCGTGATGGAACAGTGCCTTTTTTCTGTTACTAAGGGCTGCATTTCGCTAAGAGCATCCGACAAAATGTCAAATTGGTGTTCACAGCGGTCAGAAGGTCGGTAAAACTTTTGTTGGGATTCAGTAGCTCGTAGTAAACAGTACCCTTCTGATCCTTCCGGATACAAAGCATCGTTTTCTGACAATGTATACTCCGCAATAGCTGTAAGCCCGTTGGCTGGCCTAGCCCACAAATGCTGCTTTCCGTTTCGGATTATCGCAGCAGATCCATTCATCCTCCGTCACGATCTGTTAAAGAGGGTTCTTTCTGCAAACCTCCACGTGTGCTTCAAGCTGCTTTTCTGAGAATTGGTGAGGCAAACTGGCAACTCGCAACTGTGAATCCTCGAACTTTTTTCGGCTGCCTCAGACGCTCTTTGCCTCTCAGTTAAATTCTCCACTTTTTGAAACCATTTTTTGCAGATTTGTCCAGATGAAGCTCGTTGCTCATAACTATTGAAAAACACTTCAGGCTGAGCATCATTGGCAGTTTCCTTGGAATCAAACAGCAGAGGGGAAGGGTTACTTGGAAAAAGTACTTATCACGTTCAATGTTCAATCAGTATGAAAGTAAAGAGATTGAGTGAGGGACTGATCTGTCTACTCTTAAACAAATGACCAATACCGATTTCACAAATTTGGGAAGTTCCACAGGAAAACCTTCGAAATGATTCCCGCAAAACTCCTTCAAATTTGGCCGCGGAAATTAAGGCACTCATTTAATATAACAAAAAATTGACGTGCATTACGTGTTAACCCGTGAGAGTGCACTCCCTATCAAATCCGAGACTTCTGCCCTATTTTTTTGGAGTTGAAAACTAGGTCGATTAATCGCGTCAGGACCCTTCATGTCTCACCCATAAAGAAAGACTAACGATAATTATGACGCGTCCTAGGGAATGACGGATGACTGCCTATACCTGGACGACCCTGCTCATTGAAGGCGCGAACAATGCGAGTTCATTCAATCAAAGACATCCAAAAAGTCACACACAATAAACTTTTGGAAGTAACTAGTTGTTCCGAAGATTATTCCACACCGATTTCGTGGCTCGTGAAGCCTTTCATCTTGAGGAAAGACAAGTCAATAACTCACATTGAGACAATGAGACATTTTCCTTTGACCTTTCTAGCTTTCAGAAGTGCAAATAAGTTGAGCACAACGCCAGATGCATAGCCGAGAATATTGTGAGTATAAATGAGGCTGGAGAATTTCCTGCAATATTGTATGGAATACATTCCTGCTGTAGAAAATGTGGTAGAAGGTTTTATGCTCTCTTGTACAGTGTTGTTTTTTCAAAGTTAGTCATCTTGTAGGCTCCATTTCTATTTCAGGCTAAACTACACCAAAGATTACTTCCCAAAGGTAGCTTTCCTCCCGCAGTAGTATTTCACATTTCCATTCGATCTCGATATAAATGCGAGGGTATAACCGGTACCAACAACAGCGATAACAAAAATTATGCTGGTCACAACGAGGATGTCCGACCTAAATACATGTTCGTAAGATGGTCATTATTTTTTGTAAATAAACGATGCTGATGAAAGGACCTCAACAGACTTAGAACAGGCGAAGGTCACGGCAGTGTACCCACCACATAAGGCAAGTTTCTTCCATAAGATTCTTTCTCAATATATTTTGCCCATTTATACATTAAGCGCTCTTATCCTGGTAGGTCAACCTATCCTACTTCTGATCATATTCAGGCTCTTTCCCAAATAAAGTTTCGTCTAGGCAGGAGTGTGATGGAAATGTCCGATTCTATCGTCGATGAAACTAGTTCACGCCGAGCACGTCGCGAGCGGCGCAGCCCACTATTACCTTGAGGTGTTTGCGTCCCGACCGTGCAACAGTCTTGAGGTTTCAATTAACCTCCCACGCGCGAACATTTTACAACATCGGTGCTACAGAAATCCTGCACTTTTTCCGTAGAGAATCTTCTAGAACACATCGCCTTACTGCCTCATCGTCTAATTCCTCTATTTTCTACATTGGGAAAAGCTTGGCACACCTTATTTTACTTCACTTCGCTTCCTCCACAGGGAAGTATCCTTCATTTCACATCGGAGCGGCTAAGTTGTGGTCAAGCACCATGCGCGGGATCGAACTGCCGGTAGAAAACGATAGAATTTAAGCGCACCCGCCGTCCGACTATAATCCTGTGAGCGTGCCGCGCTCACCTCATGTTGCGGAATTTCGATAGGTGATTGGAGCGCGCAATCTATGTGAAAGATTCGAATGATTGTGGCCCAGTCTCAAAGGGTGATCGGCAACTGTAGTTTGCAACTTCGAATCCGCGAACGACTATGTATCGATTATTTGCAAGGTGGAGGCGTTCGATCGTGGAAATTTAGGTACTATTTCCCCCATCACTCGTTGAGTAGCCTAAGGGGAATGGAAGGCCGAACAGAAATGAGGATCTTCGTTTCGGGCTACTCGTATTGCATTGCACGGCTCTAGCAAATCGTGACCGGTAAATCGATAATTCCTTTTACCTGATTGGTCGATTCCCATCCTAATGCAGCACACATTTACGGTGCTTAGTTGGCGTAGCTGAATGTACAGTACCCAGGTCTCTCCCATTCGCGATCATATACAGGGACAATCGTATTTCTCAGAGAAGTTGGTAATCCTCTTCTGCTCTTAATTCACAGGAAATGGCTCCGCCCTTTGGTTGTATAGACAAGAACAAGAAGTTGCATTGAAAACTTTGAAATACCTGTTCTTATTTTGCCGTTTATTAGGGGCGGCACAAGAAATGGCAGCGAACAGTTGTTCGGTTCCCATAAAACACTGCACTATTGGTGGCCACACATCCCCTGAAAATGGTCAGTACTACAGTAGTGGAAACAAGTTCGACTATATTCTGCATAGAATAAGAACAGAAAAAAAATGCACCGCGGTTTTCCAACTTTTTCATTCAGAAATCCTATTATCCGCTTTTCGACTTTTTAGAATCCTTTTCTGGAGAAGGCCATACTGCTGAGATTGAGATGAAATTTACAGGTGAAATTTACAAGTGCAGGCTCCAATAACATCTCAGGCTAAGCGTCCTGCACATCGGTCAACAGCCCCTTATTTTCTTTTTTTTTGTATTATTCTGAATACGCTTACCTATAGTCTTTACTAATAGCCAAGGTTGACGTGCACATGTCCAGCTTGTCTCGCTCCCATAGCGACCGCTCTGAAGAACACTACCGTAAAGGACGTGCCTGAAGAATCATGACTTCCTCTGGAAGCCCTTGAAATTCGAACCGAAAACCGAAAACTGAAGAAAAAGGAACAACCCACCGATTCATACCCATAAGCAGTATTCCTACACAGTTAAATGTATCCGCCACAGCAAGTGTTATTATTAACTGAAAATGCTTATTGAGAAGTTGTTCACACTGCATGTATTGTATACGGAGAAGAGGACTTTCCTCTATTCAATTTGTTCCTGACCCTGGTAATCGACCGACTCTATGGAAGTCATATTCAAAAATCAAAAAGAATGAAAACAGGTATCTTGAGTAAAGGTCCAATGAATTGCACTTTTCTTGTAGTGGTGACGAAGTTGCTCTTCACTTTGCTGTCTAGGAGGGTTCCTGCTCACAAAAAAGTCTCTCCTTACAACTATGCAAACTGAGAATCACTCTGAGTTTGGACGATTCTAGCCTGTCCTGACCTGAGTATGTTCCACCTGTTCTACTGAATCTTACNAAAAAAAAAAAAATAAAAACCGGTATCTTGAGTAAAGGTCCAATGAATTGCACTTTTTCCGTAGTGGTGACGGAGTTGCTATTCACTTTGCTGTCTAGTGGAGAGAAGAGGATTCCTGCTCACAAAATAGTCTCTCCTTACAACCATGCAAACTGAGAATCACTCTGAGTTTGGACGATTCTAGCCTTTCCTTTACAGCCGTATGTTATGTTCTTCATGAAAGGTCTGGTTCTTTTAAAACAGTTCACGATAGAAATGGCTTCTGAGATTCTTCGCCAGAATTGATTACGGTCTTTGGTACATGGGACGTAGTCGGACCGAAAACATCCTGGTCAAGGCGTAATAAGGACTCGAAAGCCGGTTCGATCGATGCAGGCACTTGAAATGGCCGTGTTATGCCGGCCTTGTTAGAATCGCACTAAACACAGGACCAGATGAAAAGCGTGCTCAAATGAGGGACCCCCAGATGATCATCCCGTACAATATCCCTTATTGCTAATGGTATGAAGTCTTATATTTTTCAAAATCCTATAATTTCCGCGCTTTGTTCGCCACGCTTGCCTTATTCTGCACAATGGTTTCCATTATTTCACTTGAAATAGATACCTCAAAATTGTCATGAACTGAGGCTTCAATGCTTTACGAGCTTCCCCAAAAGTCAAAATTACTGGTCGCCAGTGGTCTCGCAATCGGCAGGTGACAGAAGGCTGTTATTTTTTATGGGATCGGTGATTATTGCGTGGAGGAAATTGGCTTCACCATACACTTTGCATATAACGGCTGAAATTGGTCAGGTGCAGCCGATCTTTTTCACAACCTTAATGGTTTAGCTCCTATAGGGCTCGCTTTGAGAACCAAAAAAAGGTAGTAATCTTTGAATACGTCAATTGGGCTGCATCGCATCAGAACGAGTTGTTTCCGCTTCAACGCAGACAATACGGTCAGGGTTGACAACGGCGCGGGGAATGCCATGGATACGGCAGTTTTCCACTGGAACAGGCCATTTTTCTCTTTACAACTTATATTTCTTGATTGTTCCTCGAGAAACAAGAAAGATGGCGAAGCAAAAAGAGAAGGGACTCATTGTGATGGACATAACGGCCCATGGGGTTCCGAGTTTACGATCCACCACGTCTACGCCCAATTGAGTACGCGCGGTGGCGAGCTTCAATCCATCTTAGATAAAGAGTAGGAAGAACGCCGTGCGTCTCTGATGGCAAAAAGGGGTTTCTGACGAGATTTCAGTTACTGTAGAGTACCGTGCCGAGTCTGAATCAGCTGTTTACATATACAACGGAGTGCCTCATTTCCAACAGACTTACTCTCTGCGACCTCAACATTAATCGTCCTTTGTTGAGAATATTGAGCAACAGTGACTGCGGGGACCGGTTCGTTGCGATAATCGGTAGTATTAAGAGAGGCCACCGGTAGTATTGAGAGAATTGCGAGTATGAAGTCGAACATACCGAAAATCTTGAAGGCGAAGTTTACGATAATTTTGAGGTACCCATTTTAAGTTGAAAAGACTAAATGTTCATGTAGTTTAGTGCATAGGTTGCGAAGAAAGCGAGAGAATACATCTGCTTCGCGGAAACCAAGGTTTCCCAAAATCAGTGGAAATAGAGGCTGCACGAGGTTACCATGACGAAAATGGCATGGGAGGAGTATTCGGACGAGGTTAAGGGTCTGAAAGATTTTCTTCCTTTCCTATCAAAGCGGTAGCGTTGACCTTGAGCACTACAACAAACAACATATCAAATCCCTCACTCTGAGTTATCCTCTTAGCTTTCCTCCACTTTGCAATCTTGACCTAACTTGCTGGTGGTCCTAGAGACAGTCAGCGAGTTTTAGGTTCGAGCAAATGAGAATATACAGCTATTTCGAATGCTTCGTTGGTTACGTCCTTCCAGTGATATCCTTCGGAATACATTGACAAATAGGAATGAGCTTCCTTAGCAATCGTGAGCACTGACGACGCTGCCTATACCATTTCCTGACACTTTTAGGCACCGAAAAAGGCATTACTCCCTTTAAAGACACAAAATGGTCCATGAGATTTCCTCTTGGAATCAACCAAGAAAAGCACTAATGTACATACCACAAAATTATTGTGAACGGTGTCTCTAAGTCATTACTTAAGTGAGGTGAATGTTTAGGGGGACATGCGGTAGGAATCCGGTAGCTTACTCGGTCTTCTTTTTTTTGCACGACAGTAGTACTGTGAGTTACTCTTTCTAGCTTTACATTGACGTGAATGTAATAATAAGTAAGTAAAGACATAATACATAAATAAGAATTAGCAAACCTACTTTTCTGTTCCTCCTGAACTCTTTGCATGTCACTAGACACCATATCAGAATCATAGAAAAAACAGCACAAATGGCTCCCAATTCGATATTGATTTTATGATATCCCATTAATTCTATGAAGAACGAGTCTTCTCTCAGCTCCCCATTTACCGCATCAACTTCCATCAAAATCTGAAATTAATTTTATCGTGAATGGTAATATTAGAAAATGAAATTCGTAGGGGAAACAACACTAGGTGTCTGAAAAACGGTGAAAAAAATGACGAATTTCTCCAAAGAAGAGTCCTGGATGCCTTCGATCACTTCTTGTGCATTTATTCAATGAATGAAATCGATTCCTTTGGAAGAGGAGCTGTTGGGATGAAATCCTCAGAGCCGATGTGAGAAAAGGTCAATTCAGGATTTGAAGGNAGTCTTCTCTCAGCTCCCCATTTACCGCATCAACTTCCATCAAAATCTGAAATTGATTTTATCGTGAATGGTAATATTAGAAAATGAAATTCGTCGGGGAAATAACACTAGGTGTCTGA